CGTAAACATCAAAGGAATATAGGAAAACTCCATAAAGAAGAATGGTCATCATTTCCATCGTTTGAATGTTAGTTCGTCTCCTCTGTCGCGTAATGCGCATGACTGTTTGTTTGTTTGTAATTAAGCACAAAGCTACACAATGGGCTATCTGTGCTCGGTCCACCATGGATATCGAAACCCGGGTTCTAGCGTTGTAAGTCCGCAGACATACCACTGGGGGGCTAATGCGCATGAACCATTTTTGGATAGAACTGTCACCGGTGATGAAAAATGGATTCTCTATGCGGATATTAAACGCCAAAAACAATGGCTCAGTCTTAGATAAAAACCACTTCCTACCATAAAACCTGGATTCTATCTGATGAAAGTGATGCTTTGCACTTGGTGGGACATCAAAGGAGTAATTCATTTAGAACTCTTCAATCCACAGCGAACTGTCAATGTAGAGATTCATAATCAGCAACTGGAACATTTAAATCAAGCTCTTCATCAGAAACGCTCTTCACTCGTCAATCGGAAAAGTGTTCTTCTTCTCCATGACAATACACGTCCAAATGTGGCACGTTTGGCGCAACACAAGATTATGAAGTTGGGTTGGAAAGTTTTTCCCCCACCCACCATATTCTCTAGATATGGTACCATCAGATGACCATCTTTTTCGTTAGCTGCAACATCATCTTAATGGGAAAACATATGCAAGTGTGAAAATGTTAAAGAGGACATATACATGTTTATTGCTTCAAAGCCAAGTGATTTCTATAACCAGGGCATTAACAACCTGAGTGTAAGATGGAAAAGGATCATCAATGTTTTGTTTTGATATATATGTTGTTCGGGTATTTTCATCTGAAAAAACCGACATTAATTTCTTTTTGACCTAATATCTATAAATGAACAGTCGTCAATCTGTTCATGTGTCTAAATACACAACTTCATACCCTCATAACCGATTCACTGATATCTTTAAGAGAATAAAATATAGAGTGTTTTCCTATAACAATGATTTTTATTGGGTATTTTTCTTTTTCTAGATGAACAGTCGTCAATCTGTTCATGTGTCTAAATATTCGACTTCATACCCTCAAAATATTTTTACGTCATTCTAAAACTTCACTTTTTAAAGGTCTGTATATATATAATTCTTGGAGCAAGAAGTAAATTTAAAAAAACAGTCACAGAGAAATTCAGAATTCTGATGATATGCATCCAACATATATAAACCATTTCTGTCTTACAATATATTTTTTTTTAGCTTTATTTCATACGTTTCTAAAAATATCTTACATCTGTAGTTTTCATTATGTGCTAAATTTGACTTTTATAGATCTGTTCATTGATAATGATATTGTAGTCCTTATTCATTACCAGTATCATGCATAACAGTTAAACTCTCAAAACATGTTCTTAATATTTTAGCATAATGACAAAACATTTGTGCAAACAAATTGTATATCATTATACTAAAGGCTTACAGGGGTTGTAAAACGAATGGTAATACTTAAGGTTTACATTTCATTTACTATTATGAAATTTGGGCTACCAGGAACAGATAATACAGCACTTGATGAAACAAAGTGTTGTGCGTCAGAAAATATTATATTTTACCATTCTTTGATCAAAGTTTCTACTATTTGGTAAAGTTATGTAGGTGCAGGAAATCTACTTCGAACTCTGTTTCAGTAACTAACCGTAGAGGGCGATAACACTTAAACCTGGCGAGTGTGGTGGCCAAGTTAGATGTATAAACTCTTCCTCGTGTTTACTGAACCAATCTTTGTCAATCTCAGCAGTATGACTTACTGCATTGAGATAGACCAGTTCCGTTTGGGAATAAAATGTTCGCTATGGAGAAAACCTGGTCTGAATTAATTTTTAAGTAATGATAGAGTATTTAACTATAGAAACAATGGGAAACCGACGATATTGAGAGAAGAGACAGTTTGATGGTAATCGTATAAAAATATTCATCTGACTGAACCACATTATTCCATTGATCTTTAGCCTATTGTTTATTCTATTTAAACCAGGATTCACTCAGGATTTTACTTGTGTGAATGTGTGTTATTAAAAGTCCTAAATGACAACCCATGGTTACCCATCCTTCGATTGTTTTGTGACAGAGTTTGATTTTTGCAGGATAATTTTAAGATCTGATTGCACTATGCCCGTGTTGATGCTCATCTATCAAGATCTGTCAGTTCAAATTTTCGATCTGTGTTATGTTTGTCTGATGGTGTCTTGATGTACGTCTGACAAGCAAACACAGCTAGGAAAACCAACATCTTCAAACTACGTAGTTTAAGAGACAAGAGCAGCCACTGCCTTCGACACAGATAAAGCACAGGTGACTTCTAAAACTATAGAGCAAGCTGAGCAAGATGCCCAAAGTATTTAATGAAAATTGGTTAATATATTGCAACATTCTTTGGATGCTGTTCCTAATGGAAGAGAATGATAGTAGACATGTAATGTAGTCAGTAGAATGTTCTAGAAAAATAAATAAAGCAAGTAGTAGTCCTTTCCTTGCAATATTTGATATACTGAGGGTTATTCTAAACATTAAAATCTTCTATTTGGAAAATAGAAAATCTTGCGTTCCAGGATAGAAACGGTTAATGTCCTCTTAACATATGATGTTCAAAACAACTAAGAAAACTAACTATGATATAAGATGGGGATACCATAGAAGCATTTGCTAATGTTCAAAGATTGGACTCGCCACAAAACAGTGAATTCCAAGTCAAAAGGTAAGTGTTAGCTGACAAAAGTACAGGAAAATGTCCCAGTAAATTTAATTTATGCATGTTAAATATAGACAAGCTATACAGGCTAATTATAGTATATATATTTCAGTTAGTTACTTTAATAGATAGTGATAAATTCAGACTGCTAATGAAGAGAGTTACCAAGTAATATAAAACTAATCTGGTTAGAAAACACTTTATCAATATTTTTGAGGTAATGCTAGAAGATTGAGAAATGTGTTCAGAAAAACAATAGAATACCAGCTATAGTATTTTTGAAAAATCTCAAACCTCTTCGTATTTTGTTTCTTTAAAAAAGTTACAAAAACTATAATTATAAAGTGCTAAACACCTCTTGCAGTTATTCTGAAACAGATGAGTTTGAGTATCGGCAGTGAAAATAAGCGAGACCAAGTCATATAAATGGTTACTATATTCACATTTGTAACTGTTTTAGTAAAATGAAGCTGTTATTATCCACAATAAATATAGCATCCGTGGGGAAATATAAGGAGAAATAGTATCATTAGCTAACTGGAACACTTGATGAACTGGAATGTGTTTCCAACACTACTAATATAAGTACAACCTCTATGAATCAAACATGGATTACAGAAGCTGTTATCAAATTACAGCTGAACTGAGAAAACGTCTCATAAGTTAATAATGCAAGGAATTATAATGGTATTTTCACATTTAGTATCTTCAACCTAAACGAAACCTTATGTGACACATTGGTTAAAGACACATCCAATCATAATTTAAAGTTACTCATCAGGGAAGGTAAAACCAATTAGCAGCAGCCACAACCAGTTGGCTAATCTTAACCAAATAATGAATTGACTATCATGGTTATAATGCCTCCACAGCTAAAAGTGCTTAGAGTGTTCAGTAGCATGTCACTGTTTAAGCTCTGTATCTTCTAATCTGCAGCAACGTCATCAAGCGGCCATGTCCTATGTCAGAAGGATGGAGAGAATTGTAATTTGTAGAGTAATATATTGCCCAATGCTTTTTGTTTTAATACATCTAAATTTCTGTATTTACAGGCTCTGCTTGTTTTTAAGCTAATTTAATGCTAGTTGTGCTTTAAATGTTTGTACCCACGTAAGCTTACTTAACTTGGTTTCCTAAACGTTTGTTCACTTTTTAGGGTTTATGATTGAACATTCTCTTAAACATTTTCTTAGAGCTTTATGATGGACTAAAACTCTCCAGATGCTGTGTTGTATAGATGTTATTCTGAAATAATATCATTAGTCAGGGTCTTGATCTTTCTTCAGTTTTTGCCTTAAGTGACATCTATTGATCCAGCTCTAAGTATTGACTGTTTTAATGTTTTTTCTATACTTCTTTGTTATCTGAAGAACTTACTTTAATGCTAAATATTGTTTTTTTCTTTTTTTGGAAATCGAAATAGATCTTGAGCGTTAACCCAAGCTATTACTCCAGTCTTATCAAAAGGTTTTTTCATTCACTTGCTACACCATTGCACAATGTAATTCCTTCACTTTAACTCATTTTATTTTTTTAGCAACTCGTAAGTTTTCAATGATAAGCTACATTCTCCTGTACTTGGTAAATGGTAGTCTTTTAGCGGTGCTGAGTACAGTGTTCGAAACAATTCTGTAACGTTCTGTACATTATATTGAAAGGCTAAAAAGTCAAGGTACTTGTGTAAATAAATAATGAAAACACTCGAATGATCAACGTTTTTAAATTGTGTGCTTAAGTATTTCATAAGGAGTTTTACATTTGATATTTCTCCTAATACTTTGATCTGGTTAAACATATCTTCTACCCATTTTGTTGTATAACACGTTTACATTAGTCGGGTACTCGCCTTTAATATTTTTCTTCATTTGAATTTATCCATAATTTCATTCTCTCGAAGAAAATGATCCTTGTTAATGTCTTTGCTTTGCCAGGAAACACTGGCTGTTATTTGAAGTCTAATTCTTTAGTTGTTGTAAAATGGTTACATGTTTTCTCTTTGAAGCTCAAAAATTAATTCCTAACTTCATCTCTGATATCATAATCTCAACAGCCAGTCTCCTAACTTCAGCATTACGAGCAGTAATATCACGTCAACGTTAGGATGTACCGATCAAAAGAGGACCCACTATAAAGATGAATTAAATGTCAAACCTTTATTTACCTAAATGGATTGATACAATAAGACTGAAGGTATAGTAAATTAATATAATTAAACGAACAGTACCTTTTTTTTCAAAAATGCAATAATTCATCATAATAAAATAAACGTAACACTGAACGATAGAGCCATTCTAACACTACAGTATTATTTACTGGAACATTTTACTTTCATGATAGGTTTCTAAACTCTACATTAAAACATATATAGCTGATAGCGTGATGTGAATATTATGATTTTGAAATATATCGATATAAAAATGTTGTATAACTAAATGTAGCTTTTAACTGAAATACTGTAATCTATATTTGCAAATACAATATTTTAACATAAAAATTAAATGATTACGTTACTCTTTATGACTGTTTTAGTTATGCAGAGATTTTAAGCTCACAATTAAAATGCAATTTTAAATTTTAAAAATCTTATTTGAATGGTAAGCTTCTTTACGATAACTTATTGTTGGTTAAAAGAGGGCAAATTAATCAAATAAATTATTTTCCTAAGTCAGTGTTTGCAGCAATCCATCTTATATAGTGCGAGACCCTAGTATAAACTCCAGGGTACCCTGCTTCAGCACAGTTAAATCCAAATGACACAATTCCCACTAATGTCCATCGTCCACTATCTTGTAGCACCAGAGGTCCTCCAGAATCACCCTAAAATACCAGAATGTAACTTTATTAGCTCAATATTTCGCTCTTACAGCTTCGCCAGGAGCTATCAATTTCCTACCAGTTCACTAATCCAGTTGAATCCAATAAATATACATTCTGGTGATAGAGGTCGTTATTTTATTTAGCTATCAATTTGTTTGTTTTCTGTTGAACATAAAGCTACAAAATGGACTGTCTGTGCTGTGCCAGTCATGAGCATAGAAACCAAAGTTTTAGCGTGAGAAGCCCACAGACCTATTTCTGAACCATCAGCTTATCCTTCAACACTTATGGATATTTTTTACCTAATGATGGGAAAACGACATGCTGGTGTGGAATGGCAGTCAGTGATGTTTCCATCTTAGGTTTTTCAGAAGAACTTAGAAATTGCACTGTTTTTCCATTATGTGTTTTAATATGATCAAGTGAGTATTTAAGTTAGTTATGAACTATATCTTTTTGTTTAAAAATTATTGCTTAGAACTATTCATGTAATTACATTAGCACATTTGGTTAGCATTAAAATAAATGATATATATTATTATCAAGAACTTTTGATGAATCAACACCTAAGTACATTTGTAATATTTTAACACCAGAAAGGTATGTTTCTCGAATACAACCAGTTTAAACAGCGCCACATATTTAAATATATGTTTTCTTATTCACTTTGCTACGAAATAATATAATGGTTTTTGGTATCTTTTAGAAATTTCAATTGTTTTATTTTTAAAGGCAAATACGTCATTGTTAAATTTTATGAATATATAGGTCGTTATTTTATTTACGTATATAAAAATGTAATAAACTCCAGTTTGCGTTAAACAAAATTAAGAAAAATTAATAGCTAAGCTTTCTTGCTACCTGACATGCATCTTTGCCTCCTTCAGACAATCCGGCACAGACCTGCCCTCTAGTGATACCTTGTGGATACTGTGACGACGCTACTTTTGTGTAAACGCTGTTGCAGTCCTTGTTGGACACAACAGGGATGGAAACTTGTTGAAGTACTTTACTGCTCACTCCTCCTGAAAACATTTTAAACATCGAATATTTTTTAAGTTAACATGTGAAGTTAAGAAGCAATTTGTTTTACAACAATAGCAGATCACGTCAACTATAATCAAACCTACACATCTAAAGAAAGGTACATCATTAATAAACTACCGCAGTTTTACACAGTTGTAGCACAAGTTTATGTGAACCTATAGTAAAATTACAGAAAATACAAAACTGTTTTTTTTTATTTTTAAGCCTAAGTCTAGTTCATTGCAACGTCTTCTGTAAAAAAATCGCCTTTAAACAAACAGAATTAATTAAAAGGTACTATCTAAATACCGACATAATGCGTAATATTTGAAAATCAATAGGCCTAAAAGTAACTGCAGAAGTTGTTTCTTTCACATTCCTTTTAACTGATGAGTTCTGGTGTTTAACGACAAGCTTATTAGGAAGTGACTTGTGGGAGATATATAGGTCTCAAATGCTATTTTCCTCCATCTTATTTCAAATTGAAATGAACAAATTAAAATAAACGTAAAACACATCTGTAATTAACTTAATTGTTTTTAGAACACTTTTTAGGCCTACTGTTTTCCAACTGTTCGACGCTGTATCTTTTAAAATATTATACTGCACATACAAATGCCTCTCGGTAGGTCAGTAGTAATTTTACGAACTTACAACGATAAAATCTTGAGTTTATTCCCGCGGTGGACAGGTCGCAAATACCTCATTGTGTAGCTTTTGCGATAAACAACAAACAAACAAAAAGCATATATAAATAGCGTTTAACAGAATATTTTGTCTGCCATCGTCCAGCCAAACTGATTATTTATGGTACTGAATGAAAGTTTATTTGACAGTGACTTGTAGAAGACAAAAGATATATTTGAAATGCTATTTCATACATACCTCTTAGTTGGAGCTGCAATGAACAATTTAAAGTGTAAAAAAAGACATTTACAATTAACTTGTTTTTGCAATAATATAATTAATCCTTATTACTCTAAAATAATTGAACAGTTATTTCATTAATATAACATCGTGAAGTAGTTATAATAATAATTAATTTATGTTTGCTTGAAGTTAAGCACAAAGCTACACAATGGGCTATCTGTCCACGGGTATCAAAACCCGGTTTCTAGCGTTGTAAGTCCGCAGACACACCGCTGTTCCATTGGAGGCTATAATAATAATAATCCATTATCTGAGAAGGTAATATTTGAAATCTAAACTTAGAAAACCAAAGGTATTTTCGGGTACAATAATCATTAAGAGTAAATTTTAAAATTGAAATTTACCGAATGACTTATCTCCCCAACCAGTAACAGTAGCTTTTCTTCCAATAAAGTCTTCATCAACAAGAGAAGGCCCAGGTAAACAGACTGGTGTAACTTTATTACTTAGTCTGACTGCTTGTTTAACCTTTATAAGAGCAATATCGTGGTAGTTTTTAGAAGGTTGATAATGTTCATGGACTTTTACGTCTTCTACATCATATTTTGTTCCATCTTTTAGAGTGTGAGCACCCACACGAAATGTATACACAGACGGAGATCTAAGGATGAACGAATTTGTTCAAGGAAATGAAATATAGATTTTATAGATGGTAATAAATATCACTTCTTCGACATAAGATATTCAAGGTTCTCGACAACAATTTTAAACATCTACATACGGAATACAGCAAAGAACTAGAACATGAACTTAACGTAATGTTTTTTAATCTGTTTAAAAACAGTTAAGTGTAAGTTTTCAGGTTAACAGCAATCAGTCTGTCCACATGTCCATATATTGATTTATATAATCTCACGGTTTCTTATGCACGATTTCGTGCGAGGGGGCAGAAATGCAAATTGAATATATATACATCAACAAGTACTTCTGAAATATACATACAACGTTCATGAGACATTTTTTGTCTTACCCTTAGAAGTTCACTGTCATCAGCTTTTACTTCAAGCCAAATGCTTACCAAGAAGATTTGATAGACATTGTAGATTGACACGACAGCAACATCCATTATGAACTTCATGACACCTTTCACTGGAACAATCACCGTCCAGATAGCCCACCTGAAGCTACCCGTACAAACCCAAGTCATGTGTACACGAAATATAATACAGCACATAATGCTGTAGATTGATTTTTCCTACCTGACCTGTCGCACAATTCCTACGTATCTAGCAGTAGGAAACTTTAATGACAAATATGGATGCAAGTGAAATCACCATTGGCAAAGGTTTTATATTCTGATCTCCATGGTATAACCATGAATCTAATATTGCTAAACTGAGGAAAACCAGAATCATTGAGCACCAAGATGATAGACATTCCTATATAGAACAAGCTTTCGTTAATGCCACTTTGAGTGTCATCGCTACTATAATAGATGGATAATGTCTCCAGTGACGTACACGTGAAGACAAGAAAACAAAGTGGTATAAAATCTCAAGCAAGTGTTTCAAGCTTTCTGGTAGCACCATCAACTATTTCTCCACCATTGAGTAAAATCATGTCAATGCTTCTGCATAGTGAACAATCCGTATTGATGGAATACTTAAAAAGCCTGGAAATCACACAATCAAGCCAAGACTGAGTTCTTGCGGGTAAGTACAAGTAAAAGAGGCAGGGATTGCACATAATAGATCCAGTAATCTCTAGAGACAATCAAGTCCCAAAATACAGACATAAAATAAAATGAACTATACATGAAGTCCAATCTCAGAAGTACATCATTCTGGTGCATCCACAAATGTATGGCTCACACACAAAAAATTACATGGTGAAATCAGTCATTTACAGTGATGATGATACCCAATAAATACAGCTGAAGACGAAAGTAAAGCCTTCATGCTCATAGACATCAACAAAGATGGACATGATAATAGGAGAGACAAAAATTCTGATATTGAAACCACATTTAGCTTGGAAAATATATAAAGAATCATAAATACAACGAAAGATACAGTTCCAGATCTAGATGGTATGATGATCTCCCCTTTAATAACTTTTAGACAATCTAAGTCAGTATTGGAACATCAGTGTGTAGCTGGGTAACAAGCATTATGCCTGAATTATAGATTGACGATTTTTCCAAAGGATCTCTCTTATCTTAATGATCTTCAAATAATCGCTCCACAAAGATGCCATAGAAGGTTGTAGCTCTAATGCCTGTCTTTCACAATGAACCATTACTACAATCATCATTAGATGAGTATCATAGAGAAAGAAAAAATGGTCAAAATACCTAGCAGTAAATTTAGATCTGGAATATGCCTTCGGTATAGTTCAGCTGCCCATTGTTTTTGACGAAGTGATCAGAATATGCATCAGTGTAACATGTGTAATATGGATGAGTTGTAATTACGCTAACAACCAGAAATTGTATTATGAAGAATGGAATCTAACAATCATATTGGATTACTTTCAACACTGGTCTGTATCAAGGATAAAAAACTCTTGCCAATCCTCTTCAATGTCAACTCCCTAGATCTAGTTTGGCTTGACGTTAAAGATATATGTCATGTGATAACCTTTGCCAATGATATCCTGGTGTGATCACATGGCTTAAGCAAAGCTGATATTAAAAATAAGACATAACTATCCGTTAGCTGAATTATTAAATACATAGTCATGTTCTGCACACTCAAAAACAGTCATGATAATGGGGAAAAGTCATCACCATCTTTTGTAGACACTTCTATCTGCAGTACGTGGAAGCAGCCTTTGATAGACAACTCAGTTTTACAAATTATGTTAACACCATGTTAACCGCAGATGCCAAAGGCATCAATGCATTCCAAATTTCAGAAGAAAATAGTGCTGAAAAACATTTCCTGCTTATAGTATACAGAAACTTTATCGATTACTGATGATCAATATGAGAGTTACACAACCCAATAAGATTGAAATGATACAAAATATCTGTTTGATACTGGTTACAGGATGTACTTTTGCCGACACCCTCAAAGCTATATACACCTCACATGCCTCAGAAGTATCACAAAACAGCAACAGTACTTACAAGCAACATTTACCAGATCCTTGCAGTGTAAAGACCATGTATTCCATCATCAAGCCACTACAATTTTCGTTTGGTAATTCTAGTTTACATTGAACTCGAAGACACCAACCAAGTAGATGATTGTCTAAAAAGCATTCAAGAAGACAGTCACGTGTAGATGATGCTATGCAACCACTTCCAATACTATTACTAAATCATACCAGTTTCTGCTATTGAACGAGGATCATCAATTGGCAGCACTTGCCGCTTAAAGTAAATTCTCATTAATTAATAGTGAGATTAACTGTCACTCTTATAATACACCAACAGATAAAAGTGTAAAGTATGTATCAAAGTAACATGTTTGAAGTCGCAGGCACTCGGTTCCATAGTCAGATATGCTATTAATGTTCAGCTAATTTATGTCATCACCATCCACCATAAGCAAACGATTGGTATAAAATAACTATCTATAAACTTCACATGAGAATAACATAAATAATAAAGTGTAGGGGGAATTCTTGATATAATTGAATTATATTACTAGGGGAATACTGTAAATAAAAAAATACAATAAAGTGACAAAAGCTGGAAAAGAAATATAATTTGATTTCTTCCAAAATAGAAATAATCTAATTATTGTTTTTGTCGAATCTTAAAAGTTCATAAATGAACCTGTGTAAGTAATGGCTTATTATTGGTTACAGGCGATGATACATTATCTAAAAAATACAAATATAGATGGATATGGTTTTAATTGTTTTAATGATTATGCTTAAGTAATAGAGAGTACAGATGGTAAGATTTAAAAATTATCAATCTTTTTCATTACTTCTAGAAACTAAATATCAAGAAGTAGCAACGTTACAATAAGAACAACTACTCCTACCAAGATACGAAAATTATTATTGTTGTTGAGAGTGAGTAAAAATAGATAAGAACTTTAAAAATAGTGTGAAATGTCATATAAGCTTTATATATCAATCACACTTTAGGTTGGAATATCGAAAAAGTTTGGAATATCTGAACGATTTCTTTGTGGTGGTGCTCTAATATCGTCTAATTATGTCATCAGTGCTGCTCACTGCTTTAAGATATCATTATTTCGCCCCCCCCCCAGCGGCACAGCGGTATGTTTGCAGACTTACAACGCTAAAATCCGGGTTTCGATACTCGTGGTAGGCAGACCATAGATTGCCCATTGTGTAGCTTTGTGTTTAATTACAAACAAACATGTTATTTTATGTGAATTTATAATTGTAATTTAAAGTTGTAAACTGCCAACTACCATGATGATATTATCTATCAGTTTCTTTGACACTATTTGCTTCTGGTCCTATAGTCTAGTAGTTTTAAACTAATGGGATTATTAGCTGAGATATGGCCTGTCGGGCTCACAAACAGATGAGAGAAGTAAAATGTTATATCATAAAGAATTTTAAAATGATTAACAGATAATTTTAATGTTTACAAACTTTTACGTCAGAACACACTTCTTCTGGTGAATTACACTATATAAATGTTCGATCAAAGTTCAAAATCACTACAAGAAAGGTATTTCAACCCAAACCTCTGTGAACATTCAACCCATCTATTTACCAGTACCTTTTTTGTGGTATAAGTTTTATTCCTTATCGATTTAATTTTTCCACAGTGGTATCTGTGAGGCTCTTATCTAGGATAACTTGTATGCCTGTTATGCGGAATTTGAGTTTTATCCATGGTGATCCTAAACCTCTTTATTAGGTGCATATAGATGTAACAGTTCTGTTAAGTTATTCTTGTCTTAATCACTTCCGAAGAGAAACTGATAAGGACCAGTTATTTTTTGTTTTTTCATTCATCTTACGTTCAGACAAAGGACCTGAGTCATGTATAATTTTGAAACAATATCTCAGTTTAACAGAACATGTTTAAATTGTTTTCTTGCTGATTTCACTTTAACTCTTCTACAATACTGGTCAAGAAGAATGCAACACATTGAACGCCAGAAGAAAAAGGTTCCCCATTTCTCAGAAGAGAATGACTAGGGTGTTATATATAGTCATTCACATTATATTTTAATAATAATACATTCATAACAAGGTATACTGTATTTTTGCTGAAATGTTTTTTCCAGTGACTTACTTTCATTGGTAATTTAAAAGTTTATTTATTTAATTTTAATGTTATTTAGTTGGGAATCTTTCAAAAGTAGATGATCAATACAATAATACTCTAGGTCAGGTGATAATGGTCTAAGATTGTGTGTGTTTATTTTGCTTCTTGTCGTTCTTTTTTTTTTTTTGCAAAGCTATTAAAGGACTATTTGCCATTGTACCTAATTTTGAACTACAGACGACACAAAAGGCAGCGAGTAACCTTACTTAAAACCAACCATCCACACTAAATGACTGGCCATCACTCTTATAATGCATGCACAGCTTAAAGAGTGGGGACAATTTATTGGTATTGCACGAAATCAAACTCAGTCGTTCAATAGTTCCAAAATCCAGAGCTCAACCACATGTCCAACCCACGCCGTATCTGGACAAGATACCAAAGTACTCCGTGAAACTACTCCTAGCTAATACCATCAGTATAATTCATGTATGTGGTCAGCAAATACCAATCACATCACTCTCCTGTAGAGTATATTGAAAACAAAACATAATTTTATTCAGAACTTGCAAACTTCGGACTAGATCATGCTCTATTTGAGCCATGTATTTTAATCTGTTCAGTTAAAGATCTTGTGTACTATTTCGTCAGATAATTCTGTTGTAGCCCATATCATCTCGAGTGATCATTACACGAGACAGCAATAACTCTTGAATACTAGTGATCCAATTTTATAATTTTTCATTGTTCAATTCTGTCATTGTGAGAACAGTTTGAAAACTTTCAGACAGAGTTCAAACATGAAGAAGACGGGATTTATCGTGATGTCTTTTTACTTTTTCTTCTATTTGATTTAACTTTTTCGAGTTCTTGGTTGTTTTCTCCATTTCTAATATAACGTTTTAATCCTCTTTAAA